TTGGGGTGGGGCAAAGAGCTCTTCTCTGCTAGAGCTAGGTGTGAATGTTTCAACTGACCACCTTCATTAGCACATTCATACTGTTGGACCCAGCCTGGAGAATTTTTTTTGTCGTGTCAGGAGTGACTTGAGAAACTGCAAGTTGCTTCTGGTGTGAGAGAAATGGCTGTTTGCAAGGGCATTGCCCAGGGGATGCCCCGATGAATTGATGTTTTTATCATCCTTGTGGGAGGCTTCTCTCATGTCCCCGCATGAGGAGCTGGAGCTGATAGAGAGAGCTCATCCGCCTCTCCCCAGATTCGAACCTGTGACCTGTCAGTCTTCAGTCCTGCCGGCACAGGGGTTTAACCCACTGCGCCACTGGGTGCTCCAGCCTGGAGATGTAAAGCAGAGAGCAAGAAACACAGACTGCTCTCCCAAGGAAGTAAAACTAACTTGATGTTGGCAATCTCAAAAGCCTCATCATGAGAAAAAGTAAGCAAAAATCACGAGCTTGTAATAAGCAATGATCCTGGTGGGCCACAATGGCAAGGACAAATTGTATGGAGCAAAAACAAAAAGCAGTACAGGCATGTAGTACCCAAGAGCGTTGAAACAACATGGACGTCTACAAGTACTCTAAAAAGATCTGATATTGACAGAGACTTTTGGAGAAACACAAAACCAGGGTGAATTGTTTCAGCTCAGGCTTCTGTAGATCTTGACTTTTGCTTTGTGGGTTTTGAGGCTTTGGTGTAGCATTTTTCAGTGTCAAGGCAAGACACATCAATATGGAAGATTTGTCTATAAACCCACAAGTATGACTAAGTTAAAAGCTTCCCCAGTACATCAATTATGGTGTTGGAGATCTAGCTAAGATTTCATTTAAGTGTTCTCATTTGCTTCCTGAAGCAAAACAAGGCATTTTGGACAGGATGGATTCTGTCTACTGCTCCTTGAAGTAGACACAGTAAACATGCAGATCTTCCCCTAGACGTTTGAGAGAATGCATTGAGAGGCATGAATAAAATCCATTTATATGACTATAGATATGGGTGGGCTGTACCAATATCTTACTATTAGAATTCTTAGGACAGCTGTGATTATTAAAGTGTATTTGCTTTGTGTGTGTATTTCTCATGACATGTTGCAATTCCTAACTCTAAGCATATTTGCATACACACTTCCACTATTTTGAAACATTGCATTTTATGTTGACATGCCTATTTTTATCCTTTCTGGATTTGCAGATTGGGTTACAACATTCAGAAGTGATTCAGAATCCAGTGATTCAGAAGAATGGGAATATTGCCATATAATTGTGTTCTAATCTGTGCACTATGAATTTACTAAATCTGCGTTAATGAGATCAAGTGATCTTATCATCAATCCCGAACTGGTATTTAGTTAGATCAGTCTGTTATAGGGCTCATACTTTTGTGTTGTGCTTTTTGAGGCTTCGATGTAATGTCTTTCAATAAAATGAGCCTACAGTGAAATACTTTCAAATTCCTTCACTCTACAGGCCTGCCTTTTCCTCACCCACTTCTTCTGTTTTTTTCCACTTCCCTTTCTGTGCCCAGATTTACATTGTGCCCATCTTGGGGCAAGGACCCATACTCTCTGTAAAGCACTGTACTCTTAGATGATTCCACATCAATCATTCAAAAACACTGGATGCAATACTAACAATATTATTGTTGGAAATTGCAACCTTCTTCAAGCCTTCACTACTTATTTGTTTATATATATATTAGTTTGCTTACTGTATTGTATATGTGTGTATTGGTATGCAGTTTTCCTTAACTCTATGTTGTGAGAGGGGCTGCAGACCATGTGATCAGAACTGAGACTGTTCAGGATTCAGACTCCATTTTAGAAACAGTATGCTTTCAGATACCAAAAGCCATTAGACTTTCAGTGTAGAAACAATACAGTTTAGAAGTCAGTGTAGAAACAGTACAGCTTAGAAGTCTGTAGAAACAGAATACTTTAGAGAACTGACTCCATGAGACTCTGTTAGACTCTCAGAACAGAAAGATGCTTTGGACTGTTGATTATGAGAAAGATGCCCTGTGTTATCTGCACAGAGAAACTATTTCAAATCTGTATTGTCGAAGGCTTTCATGGCCGGAATCACTGGGTTGTTGTAGGTTTTTTTCGGGCTATATGGCCATGTTCTAAAGGCATTTTCTCCTGACATTTCACCTGCATCTATGGCAAGCATCCTCAGAGGTAGCTCTGAGGATGCTTGCCATAGATGCAGGCAAAACGTCAGGAGAAAATGTCTTTAGAACATGGCCATATGGCCCGAAAAAACCTACAACCCAGTACTTCAAATCTATCTGTAACTGGACTGATAGGCAAGGTACCAATATACTGAATACATTAAGTTTGTGAGTTATTTTCATGTTACTATGTTACTTTTAAAGAAGTCTACTTATTTTGTCTCTTGAGAGCATGATTTAAACCAAGATGTTTTAAGGGAGAGTAGATGTTCAACTGAAGGAACACTTCTGAAATTCTGATATATATATATATATATATATATATATATATACATACATACATACATACATATATCCCCCAGTGGCCCTGCGGGTTAAATCACAAAGCTGCTGAACGTGCTGACCAAAAGGTTGGCAGTTCGAATCCGGGAAGCAGGGTGAGCTCCTTCTATTAGCCCCAGCTTCTGCCAACCTAGCAGTTCAAAAACATGCAAATGTGAGTAGATCAATGGATACCACTTCGGCGGAAAGTTATTGGCAATCCATACAGTCATGCTGGCCATATGACCTTGGAGACATCTACTTACAATGCCGGCTCTTCGGCTTAGAAATTGAGATGACCACCACCCCCCAGATTTGGACACAATTAGACTTAATGTCAAGGGGAAGCCTTTACCTTTTCCTTTACCTATATCTATATATATGCATGCATGCATCAGCATATCTTTGACCCTTACAGTTCAAGAGACATCTAGGAATATCAGTTTAACAGCTGAGAAATCTAATTGCCTTGCATGAATACTAGTGGATATTTATCACTATGGAGAAGGTTGACTAAAGTGAATTTTTAACTGTTCTCGGAGAGATTCTGGTTTTCCCAAATGAATGCCATTTTCCAAAAGATTATGATTTCATCATGCATTTTCAAAGATAATAGTTTCTTCAAAAAGTTATGGAGATTTCCATTTCCCAAAAGGTCATGGCATCATTTTCCCAAAAATTATAATGGGGGATTGCTTGCTGACAAGGAACACAACAGCACATTGAGAAATTAGGCCTTTATTTTATATATAAACAAATTGAAGCAGGGGAAAGGAAAACAAAAAAATAAGAGATATAATCTAAAAATTCAGGAGGAAATACGACTTTTGAGCATTACCCCAAAAACAGTGTTCTATATTTAATACACAGAGAGCAATTCCAGTTAGATGTCGCACCCCGTAAACATCAATGTATTGGCAAACCGGTCAATGTGATTGCATAGGTCTTGCCATTCTTCATCTTGGCATTCATCCTCACTTGGCCACCTCTCAATCCAGGTATCTTTGCTTATGATGTAATAGACACTGGAAAAGATAAAAAGAGTAGAGGTTTGAATCCTTGCACAAAGGGAAAGCTGTGGAAGAACCTACCAAGGCTCTGAAATAAATAAGAACCATTCCTTAGGCCATTCCTTTACACACCTTGAAATGACCAGGTTTTATTTTGGTTGTATCTTTCGTGTCTCCGAATCCTTCTACACTGCCCAGGATCTGATTCCAGATTATCTGTTAAGTGGAGATTCATATAATCCACTTCAAAACAGATAATCTGGGATCAGATCCTGGGATATAGGGCAGTGTAGATCCACCCTAAGGAAGGAGAATTCAGTGGATGCCTGGAGTTCCAGAATACTTTGAATTTCATGAGGCAGTTGAGAACTCTACTTTTACCCTGGTCACGATGGCCCCTTCTACACTGCCCTATATCCCAGGATCTGATCCCAGATTAACTTCTTATCCCAGATTATACGGCAGTGGTGACTCAAATAATTCAGCTCAAAGCAGATAATCTGGGATCAAATCCTGGGATACAGGGCAGTGTAGATCCAGCCTAGATCTTCTCATAGCTTTTAAATTGTATTGTATTGGTTTCACTATAAGCTGCTTTTAAATGTTTTTTAGAGCAAAAAATCAGGGAATAAGAAGGAGGAGGAGGAGGAGGAGGAGGAGGAGGAGGAGGAGGAGGAGGAGGAGGAGAAGGAGAAGGAGGAGAAGGTGGAATGTGTCCAGAGGAGGGCGACTAAAATGATCAACGGTCTGGAGAAAAGCCCTATGAGGAGCGGCTTAAGGAGCTGGGCATGTTTAGCCTGAAGAAGAGAAGGCTGAGAGGAATACGATAGCCATGTATAAATATGTGAGAGGAAGCCACAGGGAGGAGGGAGCAAGCTTGTTTTCTGCTTCCCTGGAGACTAGGACACGAAACAATGGCTTCAAACTACAAGAGAGGAGATTCCATCTGAACATGAGGAAGAACTTCCTGACTGTGAGAGCCATTCAGCAGTGGAACTCTCTGCCCCGGAGTGTGGTGGAGGCTCCTTCTATGGAAGCTTTTAAACAGGGGCTGGATGGCCATCTGTCAGGGGTGATTTGAATGCAATATTCCTGCTTCTTGGCTGGGGGTTGGACTGGATGGCCCATGAGGTCTCTTCCAAATCTTTGATTCTATGATTCTATGTTTCGAAGGAGAAGGAGAAGGAGAAGAATGGCAGTTCCTGGGACCCACTCCATTTTTCATCCAAACCAGTGCCTGTAGGTTGCATTTTTGGTTCCAAACTGACCTGCAGTTAAATATGCATGAACTAAAATACTTCTAGGGCTGTGCCTTCATGTTATTCTTGCTGTAAATGGAGACATCCCAGAATCAAGGCTAAGGCTACTTTACAATCCCAACTATGGGTGCATCTACACCAGACATGGGCAAACTTCAGCCTCCAGGTATTTTGGACTTCAACTCCCACAATTCCCACAATTCCTAACAGCTGGTAAGCTGGCTGGGATTTCTGTGAGTTGAAGTCCAAAACACCCGGAGGGCCAAAGTTTGCCCATGCCTGAGCTACACTGTAGAATTAATGCAGTTTGACTCCACTTTAACTGCATGGTGCAATGTTATGGAATCATGGGAGTTGCAGTTTTACAGGGTCTTTAGCCTTTTCTTCCTGAGAGGCCTAATGCCTTCCCAAACTATAACTTTCATGATTCTATAGTTTTAAGCCATGGTGTCAAACTGCATTAATTCCACACTGCAGATGCAACCCTATGGTCCAAGAAAACAGGCCCGTAGCCAGGATTTCATTTCGGGGGGGGGGGGGGGGCGGGGAACTTTTTTGAGTTTTTTTCTGGGAGGGGGGGTTTTGGGGGGGGGTGAGTCTGAGTGAAAGAGGGTCTAGCCTAGCAAACCTTTTGTATCATTACCCCAATACCCCCATGCATATGGGATATATTGAGTATGGTGATCAGATCATGATATGAATAAACATAACAGTTTAAATAATGCACCAGTAAGGCCTTTTCGCGAACCACCATGAGAATTTCGGGGGGTTTCCCTGGCTACATGCCTGCAAGAAAATGTCAAATCTAACCACAAGGGTTAAAAAGAGTGTGGTGTTCAAACTTTTTATAGTGTTTTGGATACACAATACACATTGCTTTGAGTACCAATGGGGGAATAATAATAATAATAATAATAATAATAATAATAATAATAATAATAATCCTTTATTTGTACCCCGCTACCAACTCCCGAAAGACTCGGTGCGGCTTACAAGAGGCTGAGCCCAAATACAACAATAAAACAACAACAACAATAATTGAGCAAAATAAATAAAAAACAAAGCAATAACATTAACAACACACAATGACATAGCAGTAATAAGAAGAAAACAAAAACAAAACAATATATACATCTACTAAATCAATGAAATGAAATGCATACTCATTATTTGCAGGCCACAGGTCATTACTGACACCCCAGATCAGATAATTATTGTTCTCCTTCAGATTCAGAGTTTCCCTGCATTTCATCTGGCTGATAAATCTGCGAGGACTGTTTTCTACATTTTGATCACTCCCTGTAGGAATCAGACAGACAAAGAAAATGTTTAGATCAGGTTGTGAGACAATTAACTGGTTTAATTGACTGAAGGCACTTCCAGACATGGGGAAAACCCATACTGAAGTGTCCCCAAACCTTCCCTCAAAACTCGAGCTTTCCTGGGGTGGGGAATGTCTCCATGCCATTGCAGTAACTACCATGATGGCATGGGCCCACCCTAACCCCCCCAAATAATAATAATAATAATAATAATAATAATAATAATAATAATAATAATTATTATTATTATTATTATTATTATTATTATTATATTTGTATCCCGCCACCATCTCCCCAATGGGCACTCGGAGTGGCTTACATGGGGCCAAGCCCAAACAACAATTACAATAAAGAACAACCGAACGCAAACCGAAAATGCAAACGATAAACAATAAACAATATCATAATTACATAAAACATATGAATATACAACAATATAAAATTACAATAAACACAAACACAGTGACAATGGCCCTTAAAAGAAGTAAAAACTTACTGGGGGCGCATCTAGACAGCCCCTTTAATGCGGGAGTTACTGCAATAAAAAGGGAGCTGTCCAGATGACGTTTTGGACAAACCTGAATTAATCCACCCCAAACCAGCAAAACTCTGTTGACTATCTGACTCTGGACCTTTTCATTTATAAATTGCCAGAAGTCAAAATTTACTTGACAGAAAATAACAACAAGAAATACAAGGTTGGAACACAGTAGCTATTCATGTAGAACACTCCTGCTTTTATATCCAGTATGCCACTTCCTACATGATGGCTTTTTTTTTACCTTCTTTAATCTTTTCCAGAACTTCCATGAAGTAGTTGTCATAACCATTTTCCTCTTCTATTCGAACCAGCTTGGCTTTGTACACTTAAAAAAAAGACAACATTTAAAATGTTTAAATGCTTTTCTTCACAAAAGCCGTAACTCCTTTAGCAATTGGTGAGACATAATTCTTGGTTCTGGTGATGTTATTGTACATATATGAACAATCTCATTGCACGTTGCACATTGACACTGGTAAATCTAACTCTCAGGAGGCCAAAAATATACCAAGAAGTAGCAATATACAGCGCAAAACAGACTTACCACAAAGAAATGTGAAGCACTTGCTCCAGAAGGAGAATTTGTGCTGGTGTGTGTTGACTATTTGCACTCTAGCTGAGCCACAGTCTTATTCACGGCCAGGCCCGTAGCCAGGATTTCGATTCGGGGGGGCGGGGCGCTGAGTTTGTTTCGGGGGGGGGGGGGGGGCTGAGTCTGAGTGAAAGAAAGTCTACCCTAGCAAACCTTTTGTATCATTACCCCAATACCCCCATGCATATGGGATATATTATTGAGTATAGTGATCAGATCATGATATGAATAAACATAGCAGTTTAAATAACTCTTCACAATACATCCAGCATATGGGCATATGAACTAAAAAAACATAACAGTTTAAATAATGCACCAGTAAGGCCTTTCGCGAACCACCATGAGAATTTCGGGGGGGGGGGGCTGAAGCCCCTCAAGCACCCCCCCCCCGGCTACATGCCTGCTCACGGTGTTCAGCCATCTAAGATGCACTCACCATAATCCACTCTTGGTTTGCAGGCCAGTTGAATGCGTAGCTGTGCGTCCACCTCTTCGTTTATATTGTTGAGCAAGGAGCAGCTTTCTTTGGGAAAAGAGCAAGAAAATAGAAAGAAAACACATGAATAAGATCCTTGGAGGCACCTCTTTGTGTTTGCAGATATCTCTAGTCATATGCGCCAAATCAGGCAGGTTTTGACCTCAAAAATCCTTTAACGTGAGGAGTAAGCAAGGCATCTGAGAGTATCTGAAAGATGTCCTCTAGCTCTGCCATTCCTGGATGCTCCCCACCCAAGGGACTATACTTTTTCTCTCTCCTTTTGTTATATCCAAACCTACACTCACATACTCCATCCTAGACATTTCAGGCATTGCAGTTAGTAATCTAATTCTTTATTCACAACTCAACTACCCACAGCTTGAAAATATCCTCCAACCAACCCCTTCAAAAATACATCTTGCTTCTCTATGAGCAGAAGTACCACCTTCCCACCGCATCTTACCTTCTGCACATCGGCAAACATCACCATGGCAAATCTTACTGAGGAGGCCACTTTCTTTGGGAAGATGATAGAACTTGATGCAGTGCTCGTCTGAAAGGGAAGAATGAATAGAGTGGCCCTTTACTTCACATTGCAATTCCAGTGCACTTTGGGCAATGGGAAACTTAAGGAATGCATAGAACACCTAATGCTCCCCAACAGGAATATTGGTAATACATAATTCTGAATTTATGTAATGGGAATCCAACTTTTGGAATGTGTGCTTCTACATGGCGGTTGGAGTGGATGGCCCTTGTGGTCTCTTCCGACTTTATGATTCTGTATGAGATCAGGCAGGTTGAACAAGACTCTTTGAGCTATCATTACAAAGGAGAGAATAGTAGCTTAGTCAGTATCTCCTTCAATGGAGATAAAAATGTAAAGGGTTTCGTCTGACATGAAGTCCAGTCGTGTCCGACTCTGGAAGTTGATGCTTATGTCCATTATCTAAGTTGTGTTACACTTTCAAAAGCTTCATGCAAGTTGGATATTTTAAGATTTTTTTAAAAAAAGAGGGGACAAAAAGAATTTGAAGAGCCAGCATTGTCCATAGATGCCTTCAAGGTCATGTGGCTGGCATGACTGCATGGAGCATCATTACCTTCCCGCCGGAAGTAGATCTATTGATCTACTCACATTTGCATGTTTTCAAACTGCTTGGTTGGCAGAAGCTGGGGCTAACAATGGGAGCTCACTCCACTGCCTGAATGTGTATCAGCGACCTTTCACTCAGAAAGTTCAGCAGCTCAGCGGTTTAACCCACTGCACCACTGGGGGCTCAATGGAGATGGCTACCCTCTTTTCTCTGTTCTCCATATTGTGATCTGGGACTTGGAAGTGCATTTTGCAATGCCAACTGGTTGGCTCAATGTCACCGGGTGCACTGACATTAGGTTTCAGTTTTAAGAGAACAGGGAGCAAGGTTTTCATCATGCCTTGTCTGAAATTTATAGGGCCGGATAAAATGACTTTGAGGACCAGACTGAAACCTTTGGAGTCCACTAGCTGGCTCAAAGGGATTTTGCCAAATGGTATTAGACAGTAGAGGACCAGGGGAAATAAAGTAGACTTGCCCATCCTGCCTCCAAAAGTTAAGGTAAAAATCCATCTTCCACCTACACTTCAATTGCTTTCTTCTGACCTCATGTAGGCAAAAAGCATAAGAAATCTGAAGGCAGGTAGGTAGCCATGGTTTTATTTCCTGCCCTTGGATAGAGGATAATGTCTGCTGTGATAGGTCAACAAGGCTCTTGTTAAGAAAGCTCTTTGGAGAGTAAGCAGAGTTCTTAACTAGAGTGGATCATAGCTCTCTTTCAATAAGCACTTGTCCTTTCTGAAGTCATAAATCAAAGCTGGGAATGGGAGAAAAGAAATATCACAAATAACTGTTTGACAAGTCATAACTGGCTTCCAATACATTTGACTGCCTGCCCCGCTTTACTGAGTTCACTGGGAGAAGTGTGGTAGTCATTACCTAGGTTGTAATAGCTGTACACCTTCACGGATGCTGGTTGGATGAGGCCAACTTCAAAAAACTGGTGCGCTTTAAACTGCACACATTCATCATTTGTATGAGAAACCTGAGATAGGGAAAGAAAACAAGTATTTGGGTACCAGCATCCAATAAGAGAATTCTTGACTCCCCAAGATTTCCTAAGCTATCTATCATTTTGTTCAGTGTGTGTGTGAAGGGGGGGGGGGGGTCATGTCTGACAACTCAGTTCAAGGATCACTTTTTAAAAATGGGATCCAAAGTTCGTGGGATTGAAGGATATAACAAGAATAGCCCACGTGTGAGAAAGACTAGGAGAGTAGAATGACCTTATCAACAGGAATCTGTCAATCATGGAAAGCAGCACTGAGTCTGGCATTTTGGACATACATTATGTCCTACTTAATCTTTTTTTTATAAGTATCAGAAAACTTTCCCAGTTCCAAACAGGCTTCATTATGAACATAAGGGACTGAATCTCACTTTGAGAGAAAGTGGGATAAAAATAAAATAAAATAATTTACTAAGCACTAGATGACCCACCATTTCTTGATTGGCATTGCCAGACATGTTTTTTTTTAAAAAAAATCCTAAACAACAAAGTCACTCTGATGAGAAAGGTCCAGGGCCCTTCCAGAAAGGCCCTATATCCCAGGATCTGATCCCAGATTTTCTGTTTATACCAAATTATCTAGCAGTGTCGACTCAGATAATCCAGTTTAAAACAGCAAACTTGGGATCAGAACCTGGGATATAAGGCCTGTCTGGAAGGGCCCTCAGACATTAGTCCAGGTGCTCAATAATAATGAATTATAGTAGTCTCAAATTCCATTTGATCCCAGAGTTTGGAAAAGTTACTTTTTACAACTCCCAAAACCTCACAGCTGGAAAGGATGATGGGCATGCTCTTTGGCAGACCCTGGGAGCTGCAGTCCAAAAAAAGTAACTTTTCTTAGCTTTGACTTATCCCATTGCCTTAATTCAGTGGTTCATAACCTGTGAGTCACAGACTACTAATGGGCTGTGAGGACGAAAATCTGGTCCGCAAGCCTCCTTCCTCTTTGTTTATTTATTTTATTTATTTTATTTCTGCTCCTTTCATGCCACCTGCCACTCCTTCTCTGTTGCTGACCATGTTCTGTATCAGAAGCTAGATCTGATGTGGTCTATCCAATGCGATTTTTTGAATCAGCACCCCAAACCAAATCTAAAGTTGACCAAAAACTGATTCGTTACCCTTTTGGTACTAATGTTGGAGAATGGTCCCTGGTCAAAGTGGTCCCCGGTGAAAAAAAGGTTGGGAACCACTGCCTTAATTCATAATTTTTGCTATAATACATACCAGAGTCTGCCTAGCTGTTTTTTATATATATATAATTTATCAATTTCAGCCTTACCTTGTCCAAGTAAATGACAAGACTCCCTCTTTCAGTGTAGCCTTTGTTAAGTTCATACTTGGAGATAAATCTGTCGACGCCCTCAGAAAGCTAAACATTAGAAAAAGTACAAAAGACGTTATTGATAAAAGTTACATTCCATCCCACAAGAACAGAACACACTTTTCATTTCATAAACAGCAAAAATTCAATGACACAAGCTAGTTCTCTTGTTTTACCAGGTTTGGAACAGGCTATTTTGTTTCCACTGTGTTTTGAACGGTAATGCCAAAATCGAGGTGAAGCTCTATCAGTTCCAGTCCTAAAACTCTTCCCCAAGATTGTTTATTCTCATGTAAATCTCAAGTTGAAAAGATAAAAACCATTCTGCATGTGTTTACAACATGATTAGCCTCATACTGAGGACAATAATACATGCTTGCTGCTATCCTGCAGCATTCCTATGATGTGGGATAGTGGTAATATACTATCATGATGATGGGCAGTATCACACCACCAACTTCAGTGCCTAAACTGTGCCAAGTCATGTTTTCAGGTGGGCAGCATAACTCATCCTTTCCTCTGTGCTGCTCCTATTCTTTTATTTTTCCCCCTTATATTTAAATTTGAAT